TTGAGCTGGCAGGGTGCCAGACAGCACTTACTTCACTGTAGCTTTGTCAAAAGCAAGCTTGGAACCAGTGGTGGCTGGTCATGGTGAATTGCTTACGTACCCACAAAAATGTGATTTCCAAACCTGGCTAGGATTTGGAAACCACACCTAGGAAACATACAGAAACATAAAATACATATTTCAGGGTCCTACTGAAGGCTTTTCAAAAAAAAAAAAACTCCCTGGAAACTTTATTGACAGGCTCATTTTGAAAAATGCCCCACTGGACAAGAGACCAAGCCTAATTATAGTGTATTTGAGTTCACCTGCCTGTTCAGTAGATGATAGGCTCATTGAGGGCAGGAAGTGTGTCCTTGCTCTGTTGTCAAACCACCATGCCCAGAACTTATGTGGCATTCAGGACGTTGAAGGAATGAATGAATATGTTATGCTTGTAATCAGCTTCCCAGGTAAACCAGCTACATTCTCTGACATCTTGTAGAACTAATTATTTTTTAATGTGGCTATGTTTAGATTTTAAATTAGGCCTCAGAGGTGAAAGGCCAGCACATTACTGACAGCCCATTTATCTGGTACACTGCACTCACCTCTAAGTTTTTGCCTCGGGGAAGCCCTTTGCATTAGGGGAGTGATATCAGCATCGTGTGTAAATACTAATCTATATTGTGGCCATCACTCTTCTTAGAAGCCAAGAGGTTGATAGTGATATAGTAGGCTAAGTTCATTGAAGTTTGACGGTTTATGTGAGAATTACTAGAGAAATGGTTTATTTATGGCAAACTTTCTAATAGGATTCTACTTAGAATTAACTTAAAAAAATTTTTTTTAATTTCTTGGCATGTGTCACTCTTAGTTGCATTGAGTTGAGATTTGAAAGGAAATCTTGCTTCATTCAGATGCCCTTTCACTGCCATATTGTTTTGGAAAACTCTAGTGTTCCATGTAATTATATTGGCTTCAGTTTTATTTGACTAGAACCTGATGACTATTACTGGAATATAATCATAATTTAAGTATTGCTGATTCTTCAGTTTGTTAATTCTTCATGCATAAGATGACTTGGGGATCTTGTCTGATTTAAGACTAAGTATAATGAGTAGTATGAACAAAAGTTAAAGGGTAAAACTGTCCGAACTTTATATATCAACAATGTAGGGAGCTGTGCAGCAAAGCATTTGTTGTAGGGAATGAAACAAGCCAAAATAACATTTGGCAGGAGATCTAATTTTGTCTTAGCCATTTTAATTATGTTCCTTTAGATAAAGATAACAGATTATATAAAGTTTTGGGAACTTCCAAGGTTGCTTAACTGTATATGTTGAAATTACATATGATTATTTCACATTTAATATCTGAAGGTAGAGTCATTTTTAATTTTCAGACTTTGCTGAGCAGCCCTGTAACTATACCAACATAGTCATTATAAATGCTTTTCTGGTGCAGAAAGAAACTAAACAACAACGGTCTGTGTTTACCCAAGAAGAAAGAGGCAGCTTTCTGGGATGAGTTGTGATTTGACAATATAATGAATGGAATTTATATTTTTAAAATCAGTTTTTAGAATAGCTTTTGGTTGTTTCTGATTGGTCAGAGTTAATGAGGGAAACTATCCTCCACTTTTGTAGTTTTGTAACATTTTGCATCTCAGAATTCCTGGAAACATGGATAACTAAAGGAAAATGTGAGTAACTAGGGATTTTAAGCCTAAACAAATTTTGAAAGGCTAATCTATAAAAAGCAGATTTACCACCTTCTGCATAATTCTAGATGGAAGGAGGAAGGTCAATGGAGAGAAGTTACAGAGATTTTAGAGTAAATTTTAGATAGAGTTTGTTAATAAACTACACACAACAATAAGTTATCATAAGGACGTGTAGTGAATGTTCTGTGCTGGACATTTTAAAGAAAGGTCAAAACTTGTCAGGAATATTTTATGGGAGAGAAGAAAACCTACACTAAATCAACACTAAATGGCTATTTGAAATATGAGTATCTGTAAATCTAATTTCTTCTCCACTCTTGATCTCATTTATGAGGTGTGTGTGATGCCTGCTGTGGCGAGAGATTGTGTTAACAATTATATTGATGGTTGAGTGCTGACATGAAGTTTAACCCACTCTCTATTCTTATTTTAATCGCACTTTTATCTATCCATTAATGGGATTCACCTTCTTAGCAATGTTACCATGTCTTTTTTTTTTTTTTTCTCAATAAAAGGAAAGGAATAAACCATTCGTACTACCAGTATTGTAGAACTCCTCTTATATTCAGACATCAGAGGCAGGGGGCAAGGTATCAGAATTCATCATGTCACAGTGGCCTTCCTCTATCCCTTGTATTCTTTGATCTCTACAGCCCTATTGCCCTAATGACAGATCATCCTGAAATGGGAAGTGCTGACCTATCAGAAATAAATAGCCAGAGATTATTCTAACAAATGACTAAAAAATATAAATTCCATTGTAAACTCCTAACTCATCCCCACACACAAAAATATGAATCAAATTAATGCTGTATTTTGAAAGTCACTTATGGCTGAATTCAGGCTAGTAGCAATGTCTTTTTCACTATTACCTGGGCTCAACCATAATTCTTGGCAAAGGTCACACAATTTTGCTTTAGGAGTAAAGTCAGTAACATACCCTGTGTTGGTGTACTACTGGATGAACTTCCAAAATGAAGCTCATAGCCAAGAAGAAAGTTATAGCAGAAAAACGCAGTAAATGAAAAAATTAGCAGTAAGACTATAAAAACCAAGTTCATCATTTCAAGGACCACTTATTTATAAGTAAGTTTTAAGACACTAAGATCTCATTTCTTGGCCACAGTATATTAATATATGTAATACTTTAAATTTTAAATATGGTTTTACTAGGTCATATGTAATGGGCATTGTAGTCTGTCAAAAAGGATAAATAAGGCAGCATTGTTCCATGCCTTGTATTTCACAGTCTTCTTTGTAGCCTGGGTATTCCATATGTTAATCCCCAATTTATATTTGGTTGGTGAAATGTCATCAAACTTAATTTTTTCCCCTAAATACTTTATGCACTTTCAACCATTTTCTTAAGAATGACTAACTTGAGCATGTTGGCAATAACAGAACTGTTGTGTCCGTCGGGCACTGCTTCATTTTGTCCCTGTGGATCTTGGCCAAGGAGACAACTGCAGAGAAGGCCAGAGCCCTTATGAGAACTTCACTGGGCCCGGTATTTGAGGCCACATCAGTTATTTCAGGTTTAAAAACTCCCGTTTCTTGTCTTCAGCCTTTATTTTAAAATTGGCGTAAAAACAAAATTATCAAGGGAGCATACTAAATGAAGTGCTTTCCTTGATCTAGAAATGCTCAGTAAAACTGAGGCTAACCATGACTTTGGCCCCCTAACATGGAATAACTAACTTGCAAACCAGATTCAACTTCAGGGTGCATCCTCTTCTGTATATTGAACTTCTAAATGAGTTGTGTGCATGTGATATTTAGGTTTCATGTAAAATAAACAACAGCAACTTAATAGAAAGTATAAAATAAGCTCTTTCTATACTCAAGGCATCTACAGTGTGTTGAGAGCAAGTCTGATAAACACTTGACTGACAAGAGTTCTCCCGTCAAGTGTTGTTTTTTGGGAAAGACAATAAAGTCTGCTTTTTGTGTACGGGTGCTGCCTTCTTGCATCTGGTAGGGAAACACTCCATGAGAGATGTGGGATTAGCACCATCCCTTCAGGGGTTCTGTGGCACAAGAACTGAAGCAAAGGGAAAATGTAGTAACTTGCTACATGTCTCAGCAGTTATAGCAGCTAAATTGGGGTGAAGGGCCCAATTCTTTTCAGCCCTTCTGCCTGATGGGTTGATAAGAAAAGTGTTGACTAAAGCTTTTCAGTTCTGTTTAGTTTATGGCCACACTGTTTCCTCCCATCTGGGGTGGTTGTTGAAAAAGGATAGTGAGGACTTCATGAAAGTGTTTGTGGAAGCATTTCATGTAGATACTGAGATCTGTGTAACTTGAACAACCTTTTTGAGGTAACTTGGGCATCTGGAACTGAATGACCATCATGCATCCTCCTACTCTATTGAGCGTGGTGTTTCCAGGTAGTTACAACTTCCCCGTGGTCAATCGTTAGAATAAAAAATCTTCAAGTGTAATAGGCAATGGCTTAAGTTCCTGAATGTGCACCAAATATCATGTTTATGAGTGTCCTGTCTCACAGGAGGGAGCATTTCACCTCTAAATGAAAAGGTGACTGTGAAGTTGTCCATTTGTGACCAATACTGGTACATTTAGGCCTGTGTGCAATTGAAGCTGCTGTTCTCAGACATGAAATATTGAACTGAGGCCTTCATTGCACATTCTGAGAAATACAAAGAAAAAGGACAGATCTGGATTTCAAGTGTTGTTGACGCTATTGGCTTAGACATGTTCCCTTTATTGGGTCTGTTTTGCAAACCTAAATTTGAGCCTGAAGAATTTCTCCATATAAATGTCTTAAGTATTGCAGTGGCACATCCATCACCTTTTTGCTTTTGAATTACAAAGATAACCTTAAGATATGAGCCTTATACTGGGCAATGTGATGCATACACAGAAAGGGTGAGCCTCCTTAGTGATGAAATCAGCCAATGCCCAAGAGGAAAGTAATAGGCAGAAAGGATAGAGTTGATGAAAAAATTGATTCTTTTCCATTAAACTGTACGTGATGTGTTTTTTATGAAGCAGGCATCAGCTGAAAGAAATATTTTTTCAACTATGAAGAGATGGATGGTGAGGGAGAGGAAAAGTATGTAAGGGATCAGGGGATAAATATGTGTCTTATTCCATTACTTTCTCAAATAATGAGAAAGTTCAAAAGCATTCCATTATAGTTACTTCACATGTTTACTTGGCCTTTGTTGCTATTACAACTTTTTAATGTTAATGATGGCCTTGTTTTTATTTTAAAGTACATTTGGACTTCACGCGTCATTATTCTCTCAATTCCAAAAGTTGTGTTGCTTATTTTCAGGTTTACCAAAGATGCAGGTCATTAAGAACTATACTGGGACACCACCCCCGGCTCTTCATGAAGGACCCCCGTTACATATCCAGGCAGGGGATACGGTTGAACTTCTGAGAGGAGACGCACACAGTCTGTTTTGGCAGGTACTATCCAAATTACAGTGTTTGTTTTTGTTTTACTCGATGATTTATTACTGCTTAAAGAATAAAGCTCTTGTCTTTAGGAATTGATTGCATGCTTTTAGCTTCAGAAATTTTACATGATGTGGGGGGAAATATCTTTGATTAGCCTTCCTCATATTTACCAATGCCAAAGTGGCAGTGAACGTTAGAACGCTAAAGAAAAATAGGATCAGTGCTATGGATCATAATTACCATTTTTATTAAAAATTCATACTTTGCCAGAGCATTTTTTCCAAACCTAGGACCTGTGGGTGTGATCTAATTTGCACTGCTTTAACATATTAACAGTTCATTTCAAGGGAACTACCTAATTAGCTTGCCAGTGGCCATTTCTGGCCATACTTGATTTGTGCCTACCCACAGAAATACCTGACGTTCTCAGAGGTGCTCTGGGCATTATTCATGAAATGTATGAAATGTGAAAAGTAAGTGAACATGTTGATGTTTGCTGGAGATGAAATCTCTCTTGTCCAGTAAGCCTATATTGGGTTTAAGGATTGTGTTAACTGAGGAAAATATGGGCCAGTGTTAAGAGTTGTTAAAGCTAGAAGGTAGGACATTGCTGTTCACTAAAGTATTCTGTATCTTCATGTGTGTTAGAAATATTTCCCAGCAAAATTCAAGAGTTGGTTAAAAATCTGTTGTGTGCTGAGGGAAAGGGGCATGGGCTCAACAGAAAGATTAGCACACTTGAGTGAAATTTGGCCAGGGGGAGAGAGAGAGAGAGTAGGGAAGGACTGGTAGATAATAATCCATTGTACACCTGTATAAATGATGGCTATTTTCTTTGCTTAAAACTATTTTATGGTCTGCCATCTTGTTATAGATGAATGCCCCTAGATTGAACATTTATCTACAACTGCTGTAGCCAATGCTGTGGCCAATGACTTTTCCAAAACTCCACTCTTCTTAATATCCTACCCCTCTCATACCTCATCCTTCCCCAAACAGGAAGAGAGAATGTCAGACTGAAGTTCTACTAACTCTTCAGTCCAGTCCTGCACATCCCACCCCCAAAACATACCTACGTGTGTACCTGTAAGGTTTCTCTTATTCAAGACTTATTTTCCTTCTTGGGTTTTTCATCCCACATTTCATCAGCTGGTTCTTAATTCCTACATTTTCAACTTCATTCTCTCCACTAGCTCCTTTTCTATGACAAATAAATATGCTCCTCCTGTCTTAAAATACATTTACTCAACTTCTGTCTGGTTATGTTAGTCTCCCTCTTCTATTCTCAGAGCTAAGCTTTGGAGCACCTGGGTGGCTTAGTTGGTTGAGCATCAGACTTCGGGCTCAGGTCACAATCTCACCATTTGTGAGTTTGAGCCCCGCCTCGGGCCATGTGCTGACAGCTCAGAGCCTGGAGCCTGCTTCGGATTCTGTGTCTCCCTCTCTCTCTGCCCCTCTCCTGCTTGTGCTTGCTCTCTCTCTCTCTCTCTCAAAAATTAATAAACATTAATAAAAAAGCTAAGCTTCTTGAGAGAGTAGCCTATACTTGGTTTCTGCCTCTTTCTACCCTGTTTATAATATAGTCTGCTGCAGAAACTACTTCTTGGATCACTAATGCCACTTAAAAAAACAACAGTGTTGCAATATATAATAAAGTGCACTTATTTAAAGTGTACAATTTGATACGTTTTGACAAATGAATGTACAAATCAAAACGTCACTGATCAAGATGATAAAAATCAGCCCCCAAAGTTTTTGTGTGCCCCTTTGTAATTTCTCCTCCTTGCCTCTACCTGTTGTCCTTCTTCAGTCCCTAGGCAAGTACTGTTCTGCTTTCAGACTATGAGTTTGAATTTTTTTTTAATGTTGTATAGTACATCACATAGTACATTCTTTTTTGTATGGCTTCTTTGAGATTAAACCATGTTGCTTTGTGTAAGATCATTCTTATTAAAAAAAATTTTTTTTAATGTTTACTTATTTTTGAGAGAGAGAGAGAGAGAGAGAGACAGGGTACGAACAGGGGAGGGGCAGAGGGAGAGGGAGACACAGAATCCAAAGCAGGCTCCAGGCTCTGAGCTGTCAGCACAGTGCCCGACGTGGGGCTCAAACTCACTAACTGTGAGGTCATGACCTGAGCCAAAGTCGGACACTTAACTGAGCCACCCAGGCACCCTAATGGCTCTTATTTTTAAAAACCGACTTATTGATTGTATTATTGGCATACAAAAAGCTATACATATTTAATGTAAGCAACTTGACAAGCTTGGAGATAAGTATAAATCCTTGAGGCCATCACCACAATTTATGCCATAAATCTATCCTTTACCTCCAAAAGTTTCACCCTGCCCTCTTTATTTATTTTTGTGATAAGAATAATTACCATCTAGCCACTTAGCAAATTTTTAAGTATATAATGCCGTATTATTAAATACAGACTCTATGCTGTGCAGTAGATCTCTAGGACCTATTCATCTTGCATGACTTAAACTTTGTGCCCTTGGACTAAACTTTTCCCATTTCCACTTTCCATCAGCCCCTGGCAACCACCATTCTGTTCTCTATTTTTATGAGTTTGACTATTTTAGATTCTTCATGTAGACATAGCCAAGACATGGAAGTATCCTAATGTCCCTCAGTAGATTAATGGATAAATAAAATGTGGTATGTATACACAATGGGATATTATTTGACTTCCAAAAGAAGGAAATCCTGCCATTTGTAAAATCTTGGAAGAACTTGGAGGAAATTATGCTAAGTGGATGAAGTTTTTTTTTCTTTTTATTGCTTATTATTATTCCCTGTATGGATATAGCACAATTTATGTATCCTTTAGCCTACTGATAGATTTCATGTTATTACCAGTTTTTGGCTATTACAAATTAAGCTTCTATGAACTTTCAAGTATAAGTCTCTGTATGGACATATGGTCTCATTTTTAAGTAAATACTGAAAGGGGAATGGGTAGATGATATGTCTTTTCTTTTTTTCCAAAGGTGTTTTGGCCCTTCTGGGTGCTTTGTATTTCATATGATTTTAGAAACATCTTGTCAATTTCACCAATACAAGCTTTCTAGGATTTTGATTGAGATTGTGTTGAATTATAGATCAATATAAGAAAACTGACATCTTAACAATATTGAGTCTTCTGACCATTCAATGTGGTATATCTCTCATTTATTTAGGTCTTTGATTTCTCAGCAGTGCTTTATAGTTGTTAGAGTGAAGGAAGGATATACACATCTTTTGTCATATTTATCTCTATTTCATATTTTATTTGATACTATTGTAAATTATGGTTTTAAATTTCAATTTTTGTTTATTGCTAGTGTATAGAAATACAATTGATTTTTATAAATTGATCTTTATCCTGCAAACTTGTTAAATTCACAGGAAATTTTTTCTATAAATTCTAGTAGATTTTTTTTAAACAGACACACAGTGTCAGTGAATAAACAGAGTTCTATTTCTTCCTTTGAAATCTGGATGCTTTCTATTTCTTTTTCCTGCCTTGTGACAATGGCTAGAATCTCCAGGAAATGTTGACTAGAATTATGGAAAAGGTATACTTGCTTTATTTCTGATCTTGGCGGGGGAGGGGAAGCATTAAGTTCTTTACCATTAGGTATGTACCCTTTGTCCAGTTGAAGATGTTCTATGCTAGACCTAGTTTGTTGAAAGATTTTTTGTTTTTTAATCAGTAATTCATATTGGATTTTGCCAAATGTTCTTTCTGCATCAGTGGAAATGATTTTATCGTTTTTAAGCTTGTTAATATGGTGAATCACTGATTGATTTTTCAGATGTCAAACCAATCTTGCTTTCCAGAGATAAACCCCAACTGGTAATGATATATTGTCCTTTTTATTTATTGTTATTTTCTTGTAATGTCTTTGTCCAGGTTTGGTGATAGTTTAACACTCGACGAATAGAATCAACATTTTTTTTTCCTAAAGTATTTTATAGAATTTATTAGGGAAGCTATCTAGGTCTGGAATTTCCTTTGCAGGAAGATTTTTTTTTTTAATTACAAATTCAGTTTCCTTAGTAAATATATGTCTATGTGAGCTATCTATTTCTTTTTGAGTGAGCTTTGGTATTTTTTTGTGTAGAATCTATAGTGATGTCACCTCTCGTGTCTAACATAGGTAATTTATTTCTTTGCTTTTTTTTTTCCTAATCAGTTTAATTCGTCGCTTATGGATTTTATTGATCTCATACAACAAGGTTTTGTTTCATTGGTTCTGTTGTTTTTCTGCTTCCTATTTCACTGATTTCTT